GGGGAAAAAAGATGCAAATAACTAAAAAACTGATTGATCTTTTGCCAGACCGTAAAGGGTACATGCATACTGCATAGCAAAAATGGTGTAGGTAATATGTAGTTCTTATTAACCGAGCGGGAGGACTGTATGCGAGAATCTTGACCGAGGTCGCCAGTACAGACCGAATGCAGTGAGGTCTGTACCAGCGACCGAGGTCAAGATTCTTCCATACAGACCGACCTAGCTCGGTTAATAAGATTTTTACTATATGGCCGTGTCTTACATGCCATGTTTTTACATTCTTTGTACCTTTTTTTTCTAGACCGGTCTAGATGCCGGTCTAGATGGGAAAATCTAGACCGCTTTCAATATCGATTTCAGCCAATCAAATTCGTGAATTCGGTGGTTCCCAGTCCTTGTGAGACACAGCCATATAATAAATAGAAATATAAAAGACAGGCAACATATTCATAAAATAAATCCGAAATACAGAGAGTACCTTGTTTGAGGAATTTGAAAGTTCCACTGTGATATTGGTTCTTCCTTCTATGATACTTGCTCTCTTGTTACCATGATGTTTTGGTTGGGTTAACACTGACTCTTCTTGGCTTTGGCAGCATTTACAAACTCTCTTCAAACAATTCCAAAATGGCTTGTACCAGTCGTCTCCACCTGACGATGTGGATTTTCCCTCTCGTGTTCCTAAACATACAGAGTATTTTACTTTTGTTTTTCGTAATGATAATAAAGGTTAGAACCAAGTAAACGCACCAGCCTCCTTCTGTTTCAATTTCGAAAAAAGTAATTCACTAACAACTTGAGATAGGCAGGTTTTAATATTTTCTTTTTCTTTCTCAGCCCGATGATAACGAGTGCATAAAAAAAAAATAGACATTCGTGGAGAAGTGGAGTCTTGTCCATATTATTTCTTAGTAATGATCAATTTAACAAGAGTCTCAGAGTGAGGCATTTATCTCGAATTGACTTTAGAGGGGAAAGAAATTTATCTATTATTTACTTTTTTGTCCTTTGTTGTTTTTCTTCTTTTCTTTGAGGAACAAAGTTATGAGATTAATACTGATCTCTTTTTATGCACTTACCCCAGGACCTGTCCGTTAAATTGCAAAGCGAGTATATCGTTAGCAAAAGATAACCTGAAGGTAGGCAGAGGATATACCAAATTCCATGTAACAAACACGTGAATTCTTTCGGATGCAAGAGAGCAGAGGCTAAAAAGATGCTAGACAACCCAGGCAAATACAGGGTGCTCACTCCGGCTGGTAGGTGGTGTTCTAAAGGTTTTGGTGTTGGTGACGACGTTGTGTTTGGCTCTAATGTTGGTCCTGCTGTGGGCTCAGCGCTTCTTTCTTTTAGCTCATTTGAAATTTGAACAGCCACACCAATGATGACAATGCACATGATCACGGCAAAAACAAAGGTTAGTATCTTAGACGCTTTGAGTTGAACGCTTTGGGACGCAAATAAGCAGGCTAAGATGTAGACAAGAACCAAAAGGCTCAGGAGAGCGACGGTAGTAATCTCATCGACGGAAAGTCCTGAGAACAGCATTCCACCAACTATCACCAGAATGACTGTAGAGGGTCTGCCGGGAAAAATCTTACCGTTACTGTCTCGATATGAGTTTATGTTACGTCACGCTAACTGCTGAGGGGCTTGGGGACAAAAAATTCCATCTCTTGAGACTAAGGGCTGTGCAATAGCTTTGATTCGTCTCGTTTCCTATAGTCAAGAATCCAAAATTGCTTAAAGTAGAATTATTTTACTTTAGCCTACCCAATAACTGTGGAACAGACGAGGAAAGTTTGGTAAAGAATAAATAGAAAGGAAATATGCTCGTTGTTCCTCAGTATCCGCTTCCACTCGCTGACAAGCAGAACAAGANGTCCGTTTGAGGTATAAACATGCGATAGCTTTTTTCTCAATAAAAATGTTTACTTTAGTTCAAATCTTAATTAAAAATAAACTGTAACGCGTGAGTGTGATCACTAGCAGTGACGAAAGTGTTTTAAATTCTATACAAAATTCCGCAAGTGAGGAAAAAAAATAACAACGATACATCGACACAATTCAATGACAATGATTCGAAGAGAAATAATTATATCTCTTATACCTACGCTATATGAATAAACTCTAGAAACCACCCTCGTGCACCTACGCCGTATGAATAACTAATTGGAATTCACTCGGCCGAATCACTCGGACCCAGGCCGAGCAGAAGGTGCCATACAGGTGCCGTAAACTACTCTCGGATTTCACTGATTTGAATATACTAGAATCATTGCTTAGTCGATATAATCATATCTACCACCAAATGAATTAGAAAAGAATCACGATTTTAGGGTCCGGCCATAAATTTTAAGCATATTCCGATTAAACAATGGATTAATTTATCTCAAACGGATAGAAGTTTAGAAGAAAGGACACCTAAAGCGTTTGAAGTGATGATAATGACAAATAAACTTGTCACATCTGAGAGACTGAGAATTTAACGAGCTCAATCTAACACTTGTTAAAATAGATAGATACTTACTCATTTGGGAAAAAAGCAAAGAAAACTGGTGTAAATTGCAATAGACCAAAGCAAATCACAGCTGGTTCATCTCAAGCTGCTCAATTTTCGACAACTTGAGGTTAAAAATGGTATTCGTAATTAGTGCCAAAACATTGGAAACTAGGATAGGAAAATATTACGAATCCACCACGGACCTCTAGGACCCTTACAGATGGCGTAGGGAATGGAATCCAAAACTACTTGCAATTGAGAGAGCTTTGAGTAAGCAAATGGAAAAAGGGAAAAAAAAGCTACGCAGTAAAAATAGATTTTGCTTTCTCAATTCCACTGCTACAGTTTACTATGATTTATGAAAATGGATGTAAAATAACGTACCATTGTACGAGGGAATCCATAGAAGGTCAGATGCCTTTGCCATAATCTGTCCTTGACTCTTCCATATGTAATAAGTGGTTGCAATGAACTGTGATAACCACAGAAGGAGTCCTGCCCCGAGAATGTAGCCCCGGTCTGCTGATGCACAAGGTAATGGTAACGTGTCTGTATCGCATATCCCATCGACTTGCGTCACGAGGAGGGCAATCGGTGTCGCCAGCGTTAAAGGAAGAGCGTATCCAATACGTTGCATGCAAAGAGAGCAGCTAAGCCAACCAAAATGATAACCAAAGAAGCTCGCAAAAATATGAAGCATGAAGTAGGTGAATGCTGGATTCGATGTTGTGATAGCGTTAAAAGCGTCAGGGATGCTGTCGAGCTGAACAATATCATAACTTTTGGCGAACATCATTGCACTTAAAGGTGTAAGAAAAAGTTTCCACAGCGAAGATATAATAGCCGCTTTTCCTCGAGCTGTTTTTATCTTAACAGGGGGACCCCTATCACCACCTCGCTCTCTATCATTGTCACAAAAAGAAACACCTGAAACAGAGCGTCCTCCAGATCTTAAGGTGGAATGACCGTGTTGTTTGCTTTGTATTTGGAGTTTTCTAAGCTTCGGTGACCAAGCAATGGAAAGGAGAACAAAGGAAGTAGGAATGCCAATCTGTCCAGATAAGTCAGGTAAGA